AGGGACACCCAAGCAGCTGCAGGGTCCTTCGGATGAGTTGGTTTGCAGACCTTGATCGTGGGGGCTCCTGGGGTAGGCTGCCCCTGGCTCCAGTCACGCCAGGTGGCTGCAGGTGTGGAGCTGGGGCCCGCTCTCGTCATCCCAGATTTTCACCTCTGAGGATTTAATTGGAAAAGAGATGTCACCATGGTGTGATTGCGTTACAAAGGCAGGTGCAGAGGTGGCCTCTTCAGGGAGACAAAGGACTGGGAGGAGAGCAAAAAGGGCAGGGTGACAAAGGGCTCAATGCCAGGCTGGGGGGCACAAGGAGGGTGGCTTGGCACACTAGGGGACATTCATTTCACTGGGAGAAGAGAAGCTTTAGGGACAAGGCTGCTGTCCACCTGTCTCTGAGGGCCTGGGCTGGAACAAGCACGGACTCAAGCCATAGGTGGGGGTGAGGAAGCCCGGCTCCGTGCTGCCCACCCTCCTCACCCACCCTCCGTGGTCTCTGAGGACAGCTTGGTGGCTGCCAGCCCTGCCTTGCATCAGGACCACTGTACCGTCTCAGGGCCTCCAGGTGGCTGGGCTGATGGCCCTTGTCTTCAGGGACACAGGTCCAAAAGCCAGCGTGTGGGAATTCCTGGCAAAAGCCTCGAGATGAGATGAGTGGAGGGGCAGGTGGGACCCAGCCAGGAGGAAGGGGCCAGGAGCCCTTCCCAGTTTGCGGAAGTTCATGCTTCTCTGACTCCTCTCCACAGCCCTCTGGTGGGGAGAAGAGCCTTACACCAGGAGGGGCCCCTGCCTACGTGGCGTCTGAACAGAACAGGGCCAGCGCCTGCCCCTTTGTTGAGTGTGACAATTACACGGGCAGCGGGTGGGCGCTCACACTGGACACAGGTTGTGAAAATGGGATGTGGGATGTGTGCTGTCCCTGTCCAGTTGCTGCTTTCCCAGAGCCCTCCCTAGTGGCAGCAACCCTGGGACCAGGGACAGCTCTGGGGTCACTCCTGTCCCCATGGTCCCAGCCTAAATCACCACAGGCTTCTTGCTTTTCAGGCCCCTCCCCCTTTCCAAGGTAAGAAGAGGTGGATACTGATGGCCAGAGGCACCACCTACCCGTGCACCACGGTGTCAGGACAGTGGCTTCCTGATGAGAGAGCAGGGCAGGGCAGGGGCGTAAGGCTCACGGGCACAGGTCCGGAGGCCAGCCCTTCCCTGGAGAGAGAGGGAGGGTGGGACGCTCGCAGCGAGGTGGACAGGGTGGCTAATGCTTCTGCAGAAGCCCTGTTCCTTGGGGGTAGAGGACGAAAAGGAGGGTAATAAGAGAGAAGAGGAGGAAGGGATAAGTCTAGGGTCCCTGCAGAAGAAGGGTCAGAAAGGGCGCTAGCTGGACAGTGCTGGGAATGAAGAAAGAAAGCAGGTGGGCAGCGTTTACAGGTGTTACCGCTGTTGACCGGCGACGAGTCCTTGCTTCCCCGATGTTGAAGAATAACACCAGAGAAGCACGCCGAGGCAAGGTCAGAGTGGAAATTAGAAGTTTATTAAAGGACAGCAGAAAAGACTTCTCCCGGAGGAAGAAAGGGACCCAAGAGATGGAATCCGAAGAAGCATGGTTGTTTCCTCTTTTTTTAGTTCTTTCAGTGATGGAATGTAGGTGGGAAGGCCCGAGGGGTGGGACACAGGTGGGCCAAAGAAGTAATCTGGGCAGGAAGGACTTCTGAGTCAGCATCTTCAAGTTTGCTGGGGGCTGTTTCATCAACACTTCTTTGGGTTGGGCTCTGGCCTTGGGCTTTTCCAGGACTTCATTAACATTCCAAGAGTTGTTCAACTTTTCCCGGAATTCCTTCTCAACATGGCCTCCATTTTGGATCTTGCTCGATATTAGACCCGATTTACCTAACTACACTGACGGCCTAACTTTAAATCTGGCTTCACAGGTGGGGATAAGGAGGACCTGGGAGGGCTAGGGAGGGGGTGGACTGGGGGGATGAATAGCCTACACTTGTTCACCTTGACGCTACTACTGTCCGGATCCTTTCTCAGACCAGGGCCAGGCATCCAGTGGGTGCTCACACTGTGCTCATGAACAGCACAGGTGTTGGGGGGAAATGCTGGTCTGGAGGGCCTGGATTTGGTTCTATCATTCACTTGCAAATATTGACTGACCCCTCTGTGAGACCTGCTCCCAAGAGGCTCTCTGCTCCATCAGGGAGACCTGTAATAACAGTCAACAAAGAAAATTACAAATGGTGATAAATACAACAAAGAAAACAGGGGGAGATAGGGAAGGGTAGGATAAAAGCTTCTTGGAAGAAATAGAGGTTCAATGGGGGTCCTGGAGCATAAAAATGTCAGAGGGTTCTGTTAGGTCGGTGGTGGCGACTTTGAACAAAGCAGCCCCAGACTGAAAAGAACACCAATCAGATGCCGCAGAAATGCCTGTCAATCAGCAGGACCCCCTGGCCAATCCTGGAGTTCAGCCAACTCCCTGACCCACTCCAAGGGAGCAAGAGACTCTAGAAACACCTTTTCCTGTCCCAAGCCCTTCCCTTCCTGCTGTAAGCCCCATGAAAGTCCAGTCCGGTCCAGCTTCCACACGGTTTCTCCTCAGATCCTTCTCCTGTCCCCTCTGTGGGTCGGATCGAGTTCCGCTGGGAGTGATATCTCAATAAAGCCTGTTCAGCGGCCCTTTTAAATCTGCCTCCTTTGGTCGCTGCCTGCTCCACACGATCTGACAGGTTCCAGGAACTGCTGGAGTATGGAAGGGAGGGGGCGAAGCAGTCCTGGGAAAGGAGGGCAAAAGGGCTGATCTTCAGTGGCCATAAGGTTGCTAGGTGACAGATTTTATGTTGTAGAAACAGAATATGTCACCCCAAAATATGAAAGATTATTGAGTTAAAGACCATTAAGAAAAAGCAGGTACAGGAAAGCTCTCTGGCCTCTCGCTACTTGCCTAAAAAGAAAACAGAGATTTACAAAGTCAGAGGTATCCTGCCCACTTCTAGAGGGAGGACGGCGACTGGTTATCAGCCTTTCTCCAAGCTGTCTGTCCTGACTCAAAGTGCTTTTCCTTTTTCCTGGTGCTTGTCTGAAAATTTACTGTCTTTGTTGAAGGTGAATCCAAAGCCACCTCTTTGAGAACAATTCATTCCCTGGGTATAAAATACACGTGTTAAGTCTGACTGTCTTTCTCTCTTTTCGTTGCTAGGGGTTGAACCCAGAGCCTCATGTGTGCTAGGCAAGTGCTCTGCCACTGAGCTACTCCCCTCAGCCATATTTTCTCTCTTATTTTTTTATTTTTTAATATTTTTAAAAATATTGTTTAGTTGTCAATGGATCTTTATTTATTTATATGTGGTGCTGAGAATCAAACCCAGTGCCTCTCACAGGCTAGGCAGGTGCTCTACCACTGAGCTACAACCCCAGCCCCTATTTCTCTCCTCTTAATCTACTGGGATCATTCCAATTAAATACCTGAGGTGTTGGGAAGAAGTGTTCATACACTGCCAAGAGAGGAAGGACTATTGCTGGTTTCAAACCAGGCAGGGACCCGATTCAGTAGGACTCTTTTGTACCGATGCCTCTGGACGTCTCTGGAGAGCCATTCAGAAGAATTGACAGGACCTCTCTCCACCTGGAATTTGAAGCAAAGAGAGGGCTTAAAGATGGTTCTGGGGCTGGGGATGTGGCTCAAGCGGTAGCGAGCTCACCTGGCATGCGTGCGGCCCGGGTTCGATCCTCACCACCACATACCAACAAAGATGTTGTCCACCGAAAACTAAAAATAAATATTTAAAAAATTCTCTCTCTCTTTAAAAAAAAAGAAAAAGCTGAAAACATCCTCGCCTTTGGCAAGGAGTGTTTCCTGACTTAAAAAAAAAAAAAAGATGGTTCTGGATTTTCTTGTTTGAACTTCTGGTTTCCTTTTGGTGCCATTCAAGGATGTAAGGAAGACAGAGGGGCAAATAGCTTTGGAAAAGGAAACCATGATCTCTGTGACCTTGAGCAAGTTACTTAGCCTGAGTTTCTCTGGACAAATTCAAAGACCCGCTTAACGGGGACTGAGAGGGTTCATGCAAGTTGAGGAAACCCAACTACTATCAAGTTGGTCAATGCCAACACTAATTAAGCCTTCCAGTGAAGGGAGCCTGGTGGAGTTTTAAGGAGAGGTACAGAACTGTCCTTCCAGAAAAGGGCCCTGAAGCTGGCCTCTGGCATAGGAGAGGGTCCCTGGTGCTCCAGATGGCCCAGGGAACGAGGAGACTCCACTGCCCCCTCCTCCCTGCCACTCACAAGCTGCTCTCACTCAGTGCACAGCTGGGCCCCTTTGCTGGCCTTCAGTTTGACCCCAAGGGCAAAGAGGAATCAATTTGTTCAGAGAGCCAGAATAAAAGAGATTTCAATTGACCTTTGAATGGGGTTTTAATTTGCTTTATTACAGCCGGAGGGGCCTCATGAAGACACCCTTGAGACTGCTCTTATCCGCTAATGCACACATTAGCGCAGCAGCCAGCCACAGCCTGCACTGTCTGGATGCCGGCAGAGCAGCAGGGGGCAGGCTGGGGGTCCAGGCCAGAGGTCAGGCCCCTCCCTGGAGCGGAGGGAGAGGCAGGGGGAGGGGCGAGGCGACCTGAGTTCCAGCCCTGGTTCTGTTGCTCACCAGCTTTGGCACCTGGGCCAGACACCTCCCCATCTGAACACTAGTGGGGGGCCCTATGGCCATTCTGTGGATTTAAGTTCAGCTCTGGAGTGACAGAAACGATAGTCATTAAGCCAGGCGAGGTGGCCCACACCTGTAATCCCAGAGGCTTGGGAGGTTGAGTCAGGAGGATAACAAGTTCAAGGCCAGCCTCAGCAACAAAGCTGAGACCCTGTCTCAAAATTAAAAAATAAAAAGGGCTGGGATGTTGAGAATATGGCCCCTAATGGGTCCGGCAGAGCCCTGTGTCTGTGCCCAGCCCTGTCCTCGGTCTCCCTGGCCTTCCTTATGCTATTTCTCTCTGAACATCTGCTCCTCCAGTGGGTGACCCATTCTCTGTTCTGTCCACTCCAAATCCCAGAGGAAGTCAGTGGGGTCACTGGTCTAATTACCACGGCTCCAGGGTTCCTCAAGCAGGCAGCCACCTCCAGGAGCCAGGGGGCTGGTGGACGGCCGCCGCAGGCTGAAGAGACTCTGCCGAGCTTTGAGCTGGCTGATTTGGGCACGATGCACCATGCAAAGGCAGTGCCGCTGTCAGGGCCGGGGTCTAGCTCATATCGTAGAGCCCCTGCACGTGGGGGACCCTGGGTTCCATCCCCAGGACCAAGGGGAAAAAAGAAAGTAATGTTCAGCTCTTTTGTTCCCGGGGTAGCTCTGTGCATGGATTTGTCACCTTGTAAAGACACCGGTGTTCCTTCAGAAGCACTGCCTTATCCCTCCGTTTTTTCAAACTGAGGGTTTGTTCTTGGGCAATCACAATGGGCTTCCTGGAGGTGGGATCTTTGTTGAAGATGTCATGGACATTATAGACACACCAGGCTCTCTTAAGTGATGTCCCTGCAGCCACTCGTTCCAGACAGAGCCCAGGTGCCAGCAGCCGTCATTCTGACTCAGCCGTGACCACAATGGTCCTTTTGTAGGGGCAATGCCTTTGTTGGGGCCTCAGGCATGACTTCTGCTTTTCCAGGAGAATGCAGAGTTCTCCAGCTAGGGGTGGGGGTAGGAGAGTGACGTGGTGGCCAGGAAGGACACTGGTAATGCACATCCATTAGTACATTACAGGAGAGGCATTCAGAAGCCTCGGAACTGTCCTCCTCCCTCCAGGCCCAACAATGGGGCCTGAAGTGCACTTGGCTCAGCCCTGCCCCTGCGCCCCACCTGCTGGGGGACAGCTTCTATTTTCATGTCAGCTGCTCAAAGGGAAGGAGCAGCCAGGACTGCAGATCCACACAGCCACTGAGCCTGCGGCACCCTCACTGTGCCCTCAGTGCAGGGAGTGACACCAGGCTGCGGGCAGAGGTGGTGCAGGGTGACCTGCTCTTTAGAGGCTCCAAGAGCCCATTACTCTCTGACGTGTGCATGTGTGTGTGAGAGCGAGCGAGCAATGTGAACAGGGCAAAGATGTCTGAAAGGTAGTTTGATTTGTTTTCTTCAATCTCACCAAAACCTTCCCGTGCAATGGAGAGCAAATCCCTTCAAAGCTTCCCCAGAGACAGCTGTCCTTGGTGCCAGGGGTGGGGTGGGTCTGAGCCTTTG